GCTACTCAGCCTAACTCAGGACATGGTGGACAGTGACTGGACACCCACCGGGGCTATTTGGGACACCCCCAAAAATGCATTTACACTAGAACCTCAGTTAGCAAAGGCTCCAGTTAAGAAAAAAATTGATTAAAAACAAAGAATATTGATTACATTTACCTCGCTTGGCAAAAAAAATTTCACTTATCGAAAAATTAGTGCATCATATGATCATCGGTCATCACAAAATTGTGCATAGAATGCTATATATAGAATTGTGCACCGGGCATCATAGAATGAAAAGTAATTGACTTGACCTAAACTATGATTTATTTCTCCGGCAAAACATATGATGGTTGTCATCACTCATTATTCATTAAAACATTCCTTCCTGCTGATCCTCAGGCTTCCTGTTTCAGGTACCGTATGTTTTTCCATGATCTTTTTTCTATAGTAAATTCACTTAACCCAATTAAAATGGTGTGAAATTGCAAGCCATCCTGTAACTGTAAGCTTACAGGGTATTATTGCAGATTAACTACATCCAAAAAAAAAGGGTGTTTTTTTTTTTTGAATTATATGTTTTTTGGGGTGTAGATTACGAATCTGAAATCCATTTTTGGCGGTCGGCATCGGAAAACCGTGAAAAAAATCGGTTTTCCAATGCCGACCGCCAAAAATGGATTTCAGATTCGTAATCTACACCCCAAAAAACATATAATTAAAAAAAAAACACCCTTTTTTTTGGATGTAGTTAATCTGCAATAATACCGCTTACAGATACAGAATAAATGCTATAGAGCTGCTGATATAAAGCTTGCAGTAGACAAGGTTGTTGTAAATGCTCAATGGCATGTTCATGGATACGGTAATATCGCATCAATAATAAGGTAATTTGCATCAATAATACGGTAATTGTACATGATAATATCATATCAATAAAGGAAAAAAGGTAAATATCACAGAAAATGTCATTTTCTACATCATCTACAATGAAAAAGGAGCTGAGGAGGACTTCAGAGTACTGCTAGTAATGGATGAGTGCACTCTGCATGCTTCAAATGTTTTAAAATGAAGTTTTATTCCAAGTGTCCCAAGTAGCCCCGTTCAATGGGGCTACTCGGGACACTCTTTTTTGCTTCTGGCACCTTACGAATAGCATATGGAATTTTTTTGGAGAGGCCATGTGATAGCCCTTGCAAAGAGCTTTGAAATAAGCCTAAACTTGTTTACAAAATGTTTCACGGTAAGAAGTTATGAATGAAAAATGTTCAAAATCGTCCCAAGTAGCCCCGGGTGTGTGGTGCGCCATATCGCGAGTAGGCATCATTGGGCCTTACTTTTTCAGGATAACGGTTGTGTCATAACTGAACTCCGAATGGTACTTGTCTATGATAATTTTCGTTTGAGGAACGAAAACAATCTAATTAGAGCTCGGAGTTTTAGGCTGTTTGCTTTTAACATGTTGAAAGCTCTATTTGATCTTTGAATTGTTTCTTCCTCGAATTTAATTGTATCAGTAAAGAAAAAGGAAGAAAGCTCTGCGGATATGGTTTCCGCCTTTGCCAGCTTTCCTTTCCGCTGACCTTGAGCGGCGCCGCGATGTAGGCGCGGCCTGCATGCTCTCTCAATCGCAGCACTGTCCGCGTAATAAAGTTTGGGGAGGAGATGGCCTCAGCACACTAAAACTCCGAGCTCTAATTAGATTGTTTTCGTTCCTCAAACAAAAATAATTAGAGCAAACTCCGTTTTAGGCTGTTTGCTTTTCTACCAAAGTCGCCCTTTAGGGTCTGGGGGAGGAAACTTTCATGGCACTAATTAATGACCGTTCTCCCTGCCACGAACTGTATTTTGGGAACCGATAACGTCCTCTGATAGCAACGGATGAACACGTTGGGGGTGCTCCAGAAGCCGTTGCGCATGATTTCCTCCATGGATACGTTGCGCATCCAGGCGATGGAGTGGCTGGCCCGGCGGATGTCGTGGCCCGATGGATTTCCTGGCGAGTCGCTGAAGGAACGAAGGGCGTGAGCCAGCCAAAAAGAGCATCTCCCGGCGTCGAGTGGCTTATGAGACTTGGGCTCCAGGAAGACGTGGTTCCTGTGTTCCCATGAGGTCGTGCGCTTGAGGTATTCCTTCAAGTGGTAAGCAGGGCATAACGCATGTTTCCCACCCAATGTAGGGAAAGAGATGGGTGGTGGACACCTGTCTACTGACTGGTTTTTGTAGATGAAGCCCGGTAGGACTGCGATCGATACGTCGGTGGGTGAGATGGAGCACCCTGATCTAGAAGCGTTAGCTAGCTCTGATGCTCAGTTTCTGGATGCCAGAGCTGTTAAGAAGAGACATTTAGTCAGAAGTTCCAACAGGATGATGCCACTGCACACGCAGCAAGGGTTACCATGAATTGTTTGAGGCAAATGTTTCCTGGACGGCCTATCTCTTTGAGGGGTGATGTGACCTGGCCAGCACGCTCACCAAGTTTAGCCCCATGCAATTTTTTTTCTTTTGGGTTACCTGAAGTCTAAGGTGCATTTCAACCACCCCAACACCTTGGAAGACCTAAGGAACAATATTGAAGCTGAAATTGGCAGAATACCAGTGGGCATGCTTGTTAGAGTTCACGAAAAGTTCAAAAAAACATATGCAGCAGTGTGTGGAATGCAAAATTTGACATTTGCTGGATACACTATTTAAAACCATGTAATTTTTAAATTCTATTACCATTCAGTATAATTCAAATATCAAATAAATTTTTCTAGTGATCATAATTTTTTTATTTCATTCCCAAATCAGCAAATTACCACGTGCCACCCTGTACATGTCCAGGTATGAAAGATGTCCAGATTCATGTTTTCATATCCATGATATTGTCTTACTGACTTCACCAGAGAAAACATTAAAAATAAAACAGGGATCCTGAATTATTTTGTCTCCCAATTTGAGTTTTTGTACACCTCATGTGTTTTAGGAAATGTTTGTTGTTTATTAAACAGCTTATTATGATTCAGTAATGGAAAAAAACCAATGGAACTTCCCTTCCTTGAATTTCACCATATGAGGGTTCTGAGTGCTGGTTAAGGTTTTGTCATGTTGATTGGTAAATGCTATTGGCTTGGTGTTCAATGGTAGGTTACAAGATGGTGTCTCAATTCTTAATTAGTCTATGTATTTGGTGTGATGACAGAACAATGATGTGTTTCTGTTATAGATTTTATTATCCCATATGTGTATTTGTTCTCATTACCTCTCCAGAATTCTGCCATCTGGGCTCCATGTAGTGAGAAATTTCATTAATTGTGGTCAAATTATAGTATTTGATTTTTATTGTCTAAGATTTCATAATCTTGAAAACAAAGCTGATGTATTTTGTTTTTTCTTTTCCATTTGAGGTACACAAAGAATATTGAATATGAAGCTACTCATGAGCCAACTAAGGGTTTTGTTTAGGTTTTGGGAAAATGATGAATGTTTTTCCCTTTTGCATAACTTTTTAGATATTTTTATTCATTTGTATGTGTCTAGTCATGTTAATTGATTGATGATATACCATCAAACGGGGTAATAAGTGATGGGCGGGGTAAATCGGGACAAGCATACCACATTTTGTAGAAATTTTATAGCAGCTAAACAAATCAATATATTGCAAAACTAAAAATAGTGGCGTAAACTTCAACATTGTTACAATCTATTATGTACAAAGCTAGTTAAATAATCATTCATTTACTACCTCTGAAAAATCACTGAAAAAAAAGTGTGAAAAGTGCAATTTTGGAAAAGAACCTGTACTAAGGTCTGGAGCAAAAAAAATATTTGCTGTATTAAAAAATTGTACTTACATAAAAGTTGCACACAGTTGTTGGCTTGAAAACGCAATTGACGGAATTTGCCTATCTCATTCCAAAGAAAAATGGCAGTCGTTTCCGTGCAATGGGGTAATAAGGGAGAGTGGGAGACCCCCCAGGGTAGTAAGGGACACCCCTAAAAATGCACTTACAGTTTAACCTTGGTTAGCAAAGGCTCCAGTTAACAAAAAAAAATTGATTAATAATAAAGAATTTTGATTACATTTACCTCACTCAGTGAAAAAAGTTTCACTTACCAAAAAATTAATGCATCATCAGTCTTCACAAAATTGTGCACAGAATGTCATAGTATATAGAATTGTGTACTGGGCATCATAGAATGAAAGGAAATAACCTAAACTATGATTTATTTCTGAAAAACATATAATGGTTGTTACTAAAACATTCCTTTCTGTTTCAGGTATAGGTATTTTTTATGATCTTTTTTATAGTGAATTTACTTAATCCAATTAAATTGGTGTGAAATTACAAGCCATCCTGTAAGCTTACAGATCAGAAAAAATGCTAAATGGCTGCTGATATGAAGCTTGCAGTGGACAAGGTTGTTGTAAATGCTCAATGGCATGTCCATGGCTACGGTAGTATCACGTCAATAATTCAGTAATGAATGAATATGGTGATATCATATAAGTAAAGAATAAACAAATAAAAAACACAGAAAATGTCATTTATTCTACATCTACATCATCTACAATGAAAGAGGGTGACTTCAGAGTACTGTTAGTTATGGATGAATACACTCTGCATGTTTCAAACATTTTAAAATCACGTTTTATTTCAAGTGTCCCGGATTACTCCGTTCCTAGGGGTAATTTGGGACGGTTTTATTTTGCGTCTTGCACCTTACGAATAGCATATGGAATTTTTTTAAGATGCCATTCGATAGCCCTCGCAAAGAGCTATAAAATGAGCCAAGACTTGTTTATGATATGTTTCATGGTAAGAAGTTATTAACAAAAAATGCTCAAAACCGTCCCTTATAACCCCCATTTGATGGTAGGCTAAATGTCAGTGCAATTGCTTCATTTATTGCTCAGCACTTCATTTGGCCATGAAAATAGTAAAAGTACGTGAGCAGCTGCTGCAGTCAGCAGTCAGCACTGTAGTACTTATATCCCATGTGATGTACATATTTAAGTGTGATCATGTTTCTGATGAGCTATCATGTTTCATGTTTGAACAGGAAATTAGTTGCATGGTTTATCCACTTCATTGATGTCCAATCTATTTCAATATATAAATATCCTGCAGATACTAATTATGGTGAACCTATGAGCTAACCTAGAAGAATTGTCAATAATGCCTCTAAATGCCCAGAAAGGTAAGCATCCAAACTTTGATTTTTATCTCTTCAAACTAATTTTTCACCTTATCATTCATTTCACTATCTAAATTTTCATTTATTATTACTTATATCCCAGTAGCAAAAAAAAAAAATCATAAGGTTAGGAAGTCAGTTGAAATAGTGAGAGGTCCTTTACCCTGAACTTTTTTGTTAATATTGCAACCAATCTCACCTTGTGGCCGCCAATAAAGATAGAAAACTTCTTTTTCATGATTGTATACTATGAAATTGTCATCCAAGCAATGATTAAAATACTTTGTTTTACCACATAAGAGTGTTTACCACTTCTTTATTTAATAAGGCAGTTAGTAATGCATAATTATGAACTCTTTGTAATTCTCAATAATCTTGCTACATTTCCAGATGTGTACTTTGGGAAACCTTTGATAAATTTCATCCAAGATGCAAGAGATCGTGAGAGAAGTCAGAGAAATGGCACTACTAAATACTGTGACCCAAGATACTCAACTTCATCTCGGCAAAGCAAAATGTCCTCCCCGTGGCTTTGCTCATCAGAAAGTTCAACACGTGGTTACAGCTCACATGTTACTGAATCTTGCCTTAAACAGGATGCTGAAAAAATCACCCCAGCTGAAATCAATCCTCTTATATCTGAAGTTACTGGAAACAAGGTTGATGAATTTGATGACTTGGTGCATCCTCATGTGCTTTGTGACAGCTGTGATGGCCCTGTGGTGGGATTCAGGTACAGATGCTTGACCTGTCCCAACACTGATCTCTGTCAGGACTGTGAGAGGGATCAGCTTCATGCTCAGCACAACATGATCCGCATCAGCAGCCTTAACAGAGACTCACCAGCAACACATGCTCAAGTAAGACTTTGTCTCAACAGAGACTCACCAGCAACACATGCTCAAGTAAGACTTTGTCTCAATACTCACCAAATTCTTCAAGTATTGTTTAAACTTTTAACTAATAATATTTGTGATGTTAAACTTTCAGCGTTGTAACTACTTTTAAATTATATTTCATGATTGAACTTGCATGTTGTGGAAATGATGATAAATCTTGTTCAATTTCTTCTTGCTTTTTCAATATATCACTTTCTGACTGATTAACTTGCAGTGTGCAACTTGGAAACACTGAAATTGATGTTTCACTTTTTTCAATTTAGCAACGTTTGTTTCTAAATTTGATTGTTCATGCTGATAATGTATGTGGAGGTTCAGGTATTTAGAGGTTTGCCGTGAAGGTATTTGGACTATTAGGTTAATTGCATGTCTAACTCCTCTTATTTATTTCAGTTGTTCCTGCTGAGGAATGCCAGTCTACCTCAAAAACTTGTTCGTCACTCAAGTCTGAGAAAGTCCAAGCGTCCATCTGAAAAAAATGGAACAAAAACGCATGAAGTTATTCAGTCTATGGCGTCGCTATCTATAAATGAGACCACAAACTTGACAGCAAAGCAGCAAATAGGTGCTGCTGGCTCTGCTGAAAGCCAGCTTACTATACAAGAGCAAATAAGGAATGCAGTGGAAGATTCATCACTAAGTTTAGCATCAAATTCACTTCACTGGAAAGATTGTTGTCAGAGTTCAGAAGGTAATATGCAAAATCATTGTTGTAACACGCTCGGATTATCAAGTGACACTAGTAGGAAGCCTTTTGATAAATCCATAGTTGAGCTGATTAAGGAAGGTTTGGATTGTGAGCGCAGAATTCCTTCTGTATCGAGAAGTCTTGATGACTGTGACAGCTGTGGCAGCAGCAGCAGTAGCTTCGAGCTTCTTGCCATTGAGTAACTTTTTACAAGTCAAATATTCTTCTTTTCATTATTTCTACATTTCAAAACATTCAAATGTCAAAAATTGCTTCAAAAAATAGCCTGCAATATATACTTCTTTCTTGACAGTTAAATGCATTTCACTTATGAGCTGAACAGGATATGCAATTCTTCCAATAATTTCGTAGGTATTTATCCACACGGTTACCTGAGCAGCAATTAGTTCTGATATTAAGCAAGAATATCAGCGTGTTAGCTGCTGCCTTGTGTAGTTATGTGATAGCAGCTAAGTTCTTACATTGCGCCGTGGACGGTGGCAGTGTGGCGTAATGCCTGCACGTGGACGGTGGCAGTGTGGCGTAATGCCTGCACGTGGACGGTGGCAGTGTGGCGTAATGCCTGCATGTGGACGGTGGCAGTGTGGCGTAATGCCTGACGGTGGCAGTGTGGCGTAATGCCTGCACGGGGACGGTGGCAGTGTGGCGTAATGCCTGCACGTGGACGGTGGCAGTATGGCGCAGTGGCTGTATTGCTTGAGTGTCAACACTTATTCGTCATCAACATGACATTATTATTGATGCTGGTTCTGCTATTAATTAACAATTATCTTGTGGTTTCAATTTGATATAATTTTAAACGGTGATATTTTAGACGACATGGCGGATAATTACTGGCTTCAACCAATGATGCCAAAATAGTTGTTGCCTTATTGATGTTATTGGTGCATTTTGTACAGTTCTGTATAATGTAATTTTAGATTGTTTTATGCTCCTTAGTGTCTGTTATCAGTGATCCCACTGAAGACTTAACAGCGTCTTGCTGGAGCTTGTTAGCTTATTCCTTACAATTGACGGGGTTTTGGTTCGAATTATTTTTTTTTATTTGCACCTCTTTCAAAGAGCCAATCACTGATGCCATACAAACTTTTTTGGCCTGATAATATTTCTATGCTTTTTCTTCACAAATTTCTCGTTGTTTCTCTTTTAGTTTGTGCCCTTGAGCTTGGATTTTGTTGCAAGTTGAGATGGTAAAAAATATGCCTCAGCCCTGCAGTGATGAAGATGGATTTCAGGCGTCCTGTAAAACATGTTTACGGATATTGTTTTGTGCTGAATATAATTCATTGTGACATATGGTCTGATTTTCATATTTGATGTTGAGTTTTAAAATTGGTTATTTATATTTAAATTAATATGCTTGAGCAATTGGATTGTATTTTGTCGCATAATTTCTCCGGTTCATTATCAGCTATATGAAGTTTCTTAATAGGAGTAACGATTAAGTGCTTTTAACGTAACTTTGACTTCCTCGATGTCTTGACATTTCTCGCCAGCATGCGTGAGAAGCTAGCATGTGATCTTAAACAGTCATATTTCATTTAGAACGAAAATTTAGATCCAGTTTTCAGAGTGGTAATAGAATTTGATTTTATGTTCAATATTGTCACGTTTGGTTTGCAACATTCTATTCTATCGTTGACCGTTCTGATCATGCGTATGCTGTGGAGCCTCAGTCGCTGGTTCCAAGAGTTCCATCTTCTAAAGACTTGTAGCTTGCTTGTTTGAAATACCATTACTGTAGTAGCCTCGTACCATTATTTTTATATGGAATAAACCTGTACTCCTATCTGCAGTGAAGATTTCATTTTCAAGAAAAAAAAAACCTTTAGCCATAGATTTGTCTGTTACGTGACCGTTTCAAGGAAGTAGTGCAGGAGCGTTCCACTCTGAGCTCCTGGAGATGTTGACACGACTTCACTGACGGTGTCGGTTAACGTAGCTAGAGAAACTCGGTACTCTGTAGTGAAGGTAAATTCGAGTATGGCTTGCATCTTCCGTGTTGGGAGCCATAGTGGCGAACTCTTCAGACTCTTCATATCCGAGTCCTATGACTAGAACAATAGGGTATAATGGATTTCAGCATTATCGTAGATAGAATAAATACAAGTTTGAACTAAATCAGGGAATCAAAAATTAACTGGTTTCGAAAAACATCTCTTGTTTGCCGGTATGTTTGAAGCAATTTCTATCGCACTTATTTTAGGGATTTAATTCGTGTAGCTTAAATTTAAGTTCCAGAAATATTGCATTAAATCCGTTCTGTACAAGATAAACCTCACAGAATTGTTCAAGTTCTGTGTCCTTTAAATTTCTGTGTATTATTGACGCACAATGGTGAATGTTTCCTATGCCAAGCACAGAAATTAGTTTCAGAGAAAACCAAGAAAAGATGCTGATGTCTCTCAGAATTTGTAGTTTGTGCCCGAAAAGTTGAATCTCTTCTGTTGGTTTATCTTCCGTTGGCTTTTGCTTGTCAAGAATCCTATGATGTCTACGTTAGAGAAGCATCGTTTCCGAGTGTCCTCTGTCAGAGTTCGTATTAATTATGATAATACGGCTGGTCTGGGCTTCGGAAATGGAATCCCATGCCCCTGTCTCGTACCCGACGTACCATGCAATCGATCTCTCTTGATCGTCTCAAAGATTTGTTTCCTCTTCGGTTTTGAGATACCGACGTCGCTTCGCACATGCCGTGCTTGACCTTACAGCAGTAACTGTGATGCATAATAGTGGCCAGCATTGCTCAATCCCAGCGTTACTTTCATATTCCTTCCTGTGCGCTGGGAAGTTCCAGGATAGAGTAGTCTGAGAAATTAAGCCCGACTCTACCCAAATGAAGCTTTCCGGACCCAACCTTACCCGATTGCCTGCAGCAAGGTGGAGGGGCAGGACAAGTGGGGTGCTGGAGCCTGGCATTGGCTGCCGCAAAGTGGGGAGGCGGGGTAATTATGGAGGTAGCTGCGTGCTGGTGTGCCGCCTCCATGACGACTATAGTGGCTGGAGCAGTTGCTGCAGACATACGGTTCGATAGCTTTGCTACAGTTCGGAACTGGTGTTGCTTGGGGTGTCTCGAGCGCGGGCTGACCGCTGAGGCATCGTAGCTCTAAAGTCAAATGTAGCTGCGCATGTTTATGCTGAACGGCTAGTTACTGTATGTGTCCGTGTGGCACATGCGGAGATTTATCGAGTTGTAGTCACGTTACTAGAAGCCCCCAAAATTTCAATTTTTCATGAAATCAGACATATAAAATAAATACAATTAATAATACATTACGTCAGAAATTTGATTTGAATTTTCAACCCAGCTACTGCAGTCGGCGCAACTAACTTCTACTTGTTTGAAATATTCAAACATCTCTAACCGTGTTTTATTAAATTTATTTAGACGTTTTAGGTTTTATCGATTGTAGCTCAATTTAGGCTTTGTTATCATCTATAATATCTTCCAGCGGAGCTGGAAGACAAGTAAGAAGTCATGTCCATAGAACCAGACCTGTAAATAATGTAAGAAATAAACGCATGAATCAAAGTGAAAGTGCACAAAAAGCTTTAAAATGTTTTTACACGAACTCGGACTCCGTTTTGAATAAAAGAAGTGAACTATTAACTGTGATTGAAAACGAGCGGATAGACATT